TGGTTCGAGTTTCCCTATCTTTAAAAACAGGAATATAGGTGGTCTAGAGACCAACCAAAGTAAGATAGTGAGTAGGACAGTGTTTGTGTGGGAGGGGTGGTGAAACAATATGGACTGCCTAATTTGGAAAGGCAGATCAAGAGAACTAAAATGTTTAAGGAGTGTCTTGGGCTGCTATTTACCCTGTCCTTTTATATCTGAGTACACAGGAACATGATTAATTTAAAATACTACTTCATGCAGTCCATGTGTGAGCAATCTGTAAAATTCGTTCTTGGAGCAGAGTATTGAGAATGGTATTTTAGTGATGTTTAGACAAGGACTAGCTATTTATTTATACACCTAGGAATAACAGTGTTAGCTATATGACCCAGGTTGCTTTAGGGTGTAAACTTGAGGTAATTCTTGAAACTCCCCATTGTTTTATTAATTTGTATTGCGGGATTGGAACTCCATTCATGGGGGCTAGGTGCAGGTAATTTTTGGTGGTGCCCAGAACCGCTCCAAGCAAAGCCATCCCATCCATAGGATGGACTGGGGCAACTGCCTGCTTTGTGGAGTCCTGTGCTTTAGGGAGACGTGGAGTCCATGGCAACCTGGGGGTCAAGCCGGGGGCCTGGCTCTGGCAACAGCAAGCAACCTTGCACAAGCCTGTCCCTCTCCACTCTGCCCATACCCATTCCACCCTTCCCTGCCCCCATTCCATTCCTCCTGCCCCTCCCCCTCGGCCCTGCCTTGCCTCATTATGGCTCTGAAAGTATAAGCCCCAGCATTGGTGGGGTTGGGCCCACGTTCCTGAATATTGGTGGAACACATGCACTATGGGTTTAGATAAATCGTTGCCTGTGACCCCATTGCTCTGGGTGAGTTACAAAAGCAAAATAAGGCAGTTCCTGTCCCATAAAGCTTATTTTCTAAATCAGTGAATTTCATTCATTTGGATGTGCAGATCTGTTAAAACGTTTTCAATGGAGGCGTGGATGCCTCTGCAAATTCAACCACCCGTCTGCGAGCCCTTACCATAGAAGACTTAGACTGAAAACTGACTGAACAGAATTCAGTGATAAATATTGCACATGCTTGGCATGATATTTTAAGGCGGCATGAAATAGGGCACTGAACTGAGAGCTTCTAAGATAATGACAACACGTCCAGCTTTTGACCTGTAGGGTGGGGAATTCACTTGGGATATGATAGCTTACATGCCCAGGCTCATCAGTGAACTTTCACAGTTACACGCAAGGCCCCCTTGTCCCATGCTGTTGCCTCTGTATCAGGCAGCAGAGCAGGGGGAAAACAGGTGAGAGTTGGTGCTCGTGGGAAGCTGGCTTTTAAACAGGCTCCCTGCAAGCACCAGCTCCTGGGGAGCTACCTGCCCCCCTGCATTGCTGCCTCTCTATTAGTGGCATCAGCATGGTGGTAGAGGAGCAGGAGGGTTACTGGCTTCCATGAAGCTACTTGCCTCCCCATGCTGCCCGTGTGGGTGGGTTGGGGAAGAGCAGGCAGCTGGTGGGAGCTGCCTCCCCTTGCATGTCAACATGTAACCACTGAACATTTCAGTGGCTACACATTTACAGAAAAATATTTTAACATCCCCAGTATTCACATCCTTTTGATTACTCCGAAAAACAAAATGCTTTTTCTGTGCTCCGAAACTTTATTTGTATAGTCACCTTTCATGGACCCCTTAAACATAGTGTGCGGGTCACCTGTGATCTATGAACCACAGGTTGAAAACCACTGATCTAAACAGTGAAGTATGTCAGATGGCTGAGCTAATTAAGGAGGAGGTGGCAGACGAGAGTGACAGCAATAAGAGCTCGAAGTTACGAAGTGCTCAGTGTTGCACAGTTGACCAGAAGCTCTGTAAGGCTTTTACTCTTTCAGATGCAGCAAGTACTGGTTGCTTCCTGCGGTCATGGAGCGAGAGCAGTTGTGGCAAAGTTCTGCCTAATAAAGGCTCTCTGCAACAGCTTATGGATAAACTGTGTGTCATTCTGGTCCTCTGCTGTGACTTTTCACAATGAGTTCAGTGAGTACAGTGTATCACCCTATGTAACTAGAGTGTTCCCTTGTAAGAACAACAACTCATTCTTCAACAGTGCCGATAAATTTACATAAGTGCAATCTGTATTGTAAATCTCTTACACTTCTGTAGAACTTGATTAATTTTTTCTATCTTCTGATATGGTGGAGGTTCTAATGGAGGAGAGAGCCTAATCAGGGCATTGACCCATCGGGGTCCTGAAAAAGCATTTAGGCTAAGAATACATTTTTATTTTGGGGAATAAGCAGCTGATAGTGATTTACAGCTGGCTCTGCAATTTTAAGCCCTCTCAATAAACTGAAATAAACCAGCATTTCTTCAGGCTGTCAGGATAGCGGAGATGATATTGTGTAGGGCTGCTGATGCTTTGAGATGAAATTTTATTTGAAAGTAAATTACTCAGTCAAGGGAATTATAACCCTTTGTAATTGCTGCAGCTAAAGACTTAATGTTTTAACATGAATATTTCAGTTTGGAATGATGATGAAAGTAGAAATACACTATTGATCTTTAGCTTTTTTGTTTGTTTGACTGCTGTGAGAGGTTCTCACTTATGGCATATTGATTAAAAATAACTAAGCTTTTTTGAATCCAGTGAAACTTGTTTCTGTGCTGTGGGTTGCTGTATATGATCTATGTTCATGGCCCACAAGACATACCCATTACTCCTGAACAAGAGGCATTTATGAACATGCTTAGTAAATGTGTACAGTGGTCATAAATGGGTGGCAGGAGGGACCATCAGAAGTCGCAAAGTGATAGCCTAAACATGGAGATTTTACATTGAAACCAGTTAAAGCAGTGACTGTCAACCTTTTCGGACTACTGTACCCATTTAAAGGATCTTGTTTGTCTTGCATATCTCAAGTGCCATCTCCCTTAAAAACAACTTGCTTACAAAATCAGGTATAGAAATATAAACGTGTCACAGCACACGAACATTCTCTCCACCTCAGCCCTCTTCCACGTACTGAACCCATTTTTGGCTCCACCTATGAGGGCTTGTTGGCCCTAGGCGCTTGAGGGGAGCAAGGTGACTGTCTCCCCCCCCCCCCCCGCCACCTTGCTACTGGCGGCCAGGTCCATGAGGGTGGACTGTTCGTTGGTTTGTTTTTTGCACTTCTAACTTGTATGTCTCCCACAACTGACTTTTTTCTCTGGGTCAGTGATCCCCAACACGAAGTTCTCCACCCTTATTTTACATGTTATGCTTCCACCTCCCTTTCACTGTACACAGCTTGGGTTCTAATGTCTGTACCCAAGAGAGAAGAGCTATCGTGCTGCTTCTGCTCCCTCACTCTCTCCTCCCTTCCTTCCTCCCAGCCTTTTATATAGCCTTTTATATAGCTATATTAGGGGCAGGCTTTCTGTTGCCAGCTCCATTTTACTTCCTTTAATGACAGCTGGTGTGACAGAGGCCTGAGTCAGCAGTTCTTGCCCAGCACTTGTCACATACCTTAGGGAAGTGGTCCCCAACCTTTTTACACCCAAGATCACTTTTTAAATGACAGAACAAGCCAAGATCTTCCTTCCCCCAAGACCCTGCCCCTTCCATGAAGCCCCAGCTCTCAAGCATGTCTTTAAACTTCTTCATTTTACAGCTTCTGATTCACTGATTTATACATATGTACATGTGTGCATACATGTATTTTTTCTAATATTTCTAGATTGAAAACAACGCTTCATTCCCTGATATTTAATTTCAGTGAACACTTTGGGGATGTAAGGAATACTCCCTTAAGTAAATGTTTCAGCTTCAACCCTAACCACCTGAGGATGTTTTTTTTTTTTTTTTTTTTAGTGGGAGAGCAAACAAACACATTCCTGGATGCAAAAGAGTTTTTCTGGGATATCTCCGGAATCCTGAAACTCCCGCAGCCTAGCCATACACTTGCTGGGTTGAGACAGGATGTGTAGGCTCTGGGGTGGGAATGGAGGGATTTGGATGTGGGAAGGGGTGAGGTGTGCAAGCTCTGGGAGGAAATCTGGATGCAGGAGGAGGTGGAGAAAGGGATGCTGGCTCAGGAAGGGAGCTCCAGGTCAGGCAGTGGTGGGGTCAGATGGAGGGTTGGGGTACTAAGCAAGCCACAGACTTCTGGATGTGAGGGTTCAGGAATTTGGGTTGGTGTATGTGAGGGGCTCAGGGCAGGGGGTTCCAGTGTATGATAGGCTCAGATCTAGGGTTGGGTGGACAGTGCAGGAGTGTTATGATGCTGTGGCCAGATGGGGGCTTGGCCCCAATTGGGCGTTTGTTGACCAGGTCTCATTTGTAAATAAAATACTATGTCAAACACAAAAAGTTTCTGCATTGTCTTTATTTATGAGAAGGGCAGGGAACCTGTTTTGAGTCAGGGGTCACTACCCCACAGAAAAGTCAGTTGGGGCCACACAAGTGAGATGCAAAAAAAAAAAAACCTCCTCCAAAACCCCCCCAAGCCTCACTAATGTAGCCCCAACTGTGCTGGTGGGAGCAGGGGTCATAGTGCAGGGGAAGGGTGCTAGTGGGTGCTGGGGCAGGGGACGGGGTGCCAGTGGGGGCAGAGAGTCCCCTGCACCCACCTCCTCCCAGGACTCCTTCGCCCCCCACCCCCACAGAGGAGGGAAGCCCTGTCACATGCCTCCTCCGGGTCCAGCGCGTGCCTCCCAAGGAGCAGGGAAGCCCCTGTCACTCGCCCCTTCTGGGCCTGACTCCCCCCTCTTGCGGAGAAGGGAAGCCCGTGCCCTCTCTGGGGCCGACCCCCGCGTCCCCCACGGAGGAAGAAGTCCTGTCACGTGTCTCCTCTGGGGCCGGCGCGTGTCTCCCACAGAGCAGGGAAGCCACTGGCGCGCGCCCCCTCTGGGCTTGATTCCCCTCCTCCCACCACACACAGAACAGGGAAACCTGCGCTCCCTCCAGAGGAAGAAGTCCCGTTGCGTACCTCCTCCAGGGCTGCATGAGCCTCCCACAGTACAGGGAAACCCCCATCGTATGCCCCCTCCAGGCCCGATTTCTCCTTCCCGAAGAGAAGGGAAGTCCCAGCGTGCGCCTCTGGGGATTCTCCTGGTAAGTTCCTGGCACGCTGCAGACCTGGGGCAAGGAAGCAGCCAGTGCATTTCTGGAACCCCTGGAAGTGACGCACAGCAGCAGGACTTCCATCTACCCCGCTGGAAGCTGCCACTACCTCCATTGTTGCTGGAGGTAGGTAGTGGGGCTTCTTGGGGGTGGGAGAAAATGGGGGGCCCGGAACGCCTCGCGATCAACTGGTTGAGGCCTCGTAATCGGCCAGTCGATTGCGATTGACAGGTTGGTGACCACGGCCTTAGGGGCAAGAGAGATGAATACTTACACTTTCCCTCTACCTAGTGGGCAAGGAGAGCTAATAACGGATGAAGCCTGAGTTGTTTAATGCTTGTTTTGCTTCAGTCTAAATTTAGATTAACTACTTGAATAGTCGATGGGATTTCTATTGACTATTCAATTAGTTGATAAGTGCGCCTCTGCCTTTGAACTGTGGCAAGAGGTACATTTCAAAAAAGCCCCCACGGGGGACGGGGAGGCAGCGGGAGTCCCCCACTGGCCCTGCGCTCCCTGCAGGGCTTCTGCTTTTGAAATGTACAGGCGCTCTGCTGGAAACTGATTCAGTCTCCACTCCTGTCATTTCCTGCTGTGCCTCTACCTGCTCTGCCCTGCCTCCCGTGGAGATGGGCTCCCCCCTTGCTGCCTTTCTCTGATAGAAGCAGCAAGGGCAGGAAGTGACTATCAGATAGTCGGCTAGTTGCTTATATCCCTACTTCAGTCTCCGCTAAAAACATTAATGGTGAATAGATAGTCAACACAACAAGAGGGAAAGAATATTTAGATGCTTTAGATGTATTCGGATTCACAGGCTTGATGAAATTCTTCATAGGCTACCTAAGGAATTATCTAAAACAGTCTTGGAACCATTAGCAAAATCTCTTTGAGAACTTATGGGAGATGAGTGAGCTTCCAGAGGCCTGGAGAAGGGTAAATGTAGTAAAGAGAGAACTGATATTTAATATCCCTAAAATGTAGTACCTGTCTTTAAAAAGCAGGTCAGTGAGGACCCAGAGGATTATAGACCAGTCAGCTTATCTTTGATACCTAAAAGATACTAAACAAATTATTAAACAATGTTGAGGATAATAGGCTTATAAGGAAACCAACTTAATTACTGACATAGTGTTGTGGGGAGAGATGGAGCAGTAGACATGATTTATCTTGATTTTTTGGTAAGGTTTTAGCCAGTCTAACAAGCAAACTAGGGAAATGTGGTCCAGGTGAAATTACTATAAAATGTATGTACAACTGGTTGAAAGACCATACTCAAAGCATAGTGATCAATGGTGCACTGTCAAAGTGGGAAGGCATAGCTAATAGCATACCACAAGGGTAATTCCTGGGTCTGCTGTTCTCATTAATGACTTGAGCAATGTTCCCTCTAATTTTTTCCATCCGTGTGGAATAAATTTTGTGTGTACTGAGGCAGGTGCAGGCATTCAATACCAATAGAAATCCATGGTGCTTGCTGTGGGCAGTTTGTCAATCAGTTGGGTAGCACCTGAAGATTTGTGGGTGGCCACCTACATGCTCCACTTACAGGTACCAATGGACTTTGATAATGGAAAAATCCACATAATCCTTGATAAAATTAATCACCCTCACTGCTAAAACTATGTCTTTTTCTAGTCTCAATCTGTCTAGTTTCAACTTCCAACCTTTGGGTCTTAGTATACCTTTCTCTGCTACACTAAAGAACTCATCAGCAAATTTCTCTTCTCCATGTCGATATTTAAAATCTGATCAAGTCATGACCTTAACCTTCTTTATTTGGATCAATAGATTGAGTTTCTTGAGCCTATTACTAAAGGCATGTTTTCCAATCCTTTAATCACTCATGTCTTTGTCATATATATTGGGATGATTGATTAGTTTGAGTGAGAAGTAGTTGTGTGGCAGCGTTAGTGGTTCTCTACAGGACCCTCTGCAATAAGGTGATGGAGCAACAGCTTGGAGTTAGAAAGGAGTTCATTGGGAAGGGAGGAAGATATGCACACTTTCTTCTGTTTGCAGCTGACTGATAAGGCACAGTGTAAGCTAATCAAGACTAGTCCCAGATACCGCATCTTAGTCCATTGCTAACCTTAGGACAATCCTTGCATGATACAGGTATGGGGGGGGGGGGGAATCAAATCCCAGAATATCAAGTAAGCTTTGTCTGATGCTGAAATTTGGAAAACGCATGAATCTGCTTCTGTTCCAAGAAACAACCTTGCCTTTCTCTTCCCTTCCCTGTAAAGCTAAGAATATAAACAGAATTTTTAATAACATCTTGGCTTATTCCCCGATGAAGGATTTTAACTTTATGCTATTCCAAGACAAGATTATGTATTCAGTAACTGAGCTATTGGTCTGGGCAGTGGTAAAAGGATCAATTCCACAAGGGGTATTATTAGAAAAAGAAATACAAATAGCCTTAACACAGAACCATCACACTGTAGTCTGCAAGAAAATTAAACTTGAGACAAGGTTCTATATAAGCAACGTCATATCCCAAATTTTGAGTGTCAGATTCTAGTGGAGTTACATGTGCAAAGGTTTTAAACTCAATGCACACGCTCTATAGTTGTTCCAAACAGGGTGTGGGGGAGGTGCTTATTCTGAAACCTTTTTTGTCAGTAGCCATTCCCGTTGTGCAATGTTTTACACTACAAGATGCATTCTGAATGCAGACTTCTTACTGTTGCCAAGGGCCAAGTGTGTCCACTTCCAGCCTGGCACTCAACTGGTACTCCGGCTGTAACAGATCTTCCCCAGATCAGTGTATTTCACTGTTTTATGTCTGATCTATTATTTATAGTAGTGTTTGTTGCAAAGTGCCTTGTCAATTCAAAGGGATAGGAATGCCCTTTTCAGTCTAGTTTAATTGCTATGAGAAGAGTACCTTTCTCCATGACAGGGGTAGCTGAAGCAAAATACAGGACTATGTAGCACTTTAAAGACTAACAAGATGGTTTATTAGATGATGAGCTTTCGTGGGCCAGACCCACTTCCTCAGATCAAATAGTGGAAGAAAATAGTCACAACCATATATACCAAAGGATACAATTAAAAAAAATGAACACATATGAAAAGGACAAATCAGTGTGTTAAATGTCTTGCTATGTTCTGTGCCTGCAATGACTCTGCTTTGAACAAATGCAGTAAACATGCTGTACAGCATGAAGGGAGGAAACTGATCTAACAAGGGTGGGTGACAGACTGCAATTCTTCTTGTTGTGTGTTGGATTTGGGATTATTTGTTAAATGTATGCATGTGGATTGCTTTGTCATCTTCTTCAGGAGTCAATGAGAATTAACTTCTAAAGGGGAAGGAGTAGCCACTTTCAAGTCTTGGCAAGTGGATGAAGATTACAGTTGTGTAATTGAGCAAAGTAGGAAGAATTCTGCAAGTAAATGCATCTTTCCCAAGAGCTTATATTGTTGGGATTGAAGGAGCAGCAGAGATATAATGAGACAGATGAGTCTGGCATGTTTCCCAGTCCCTCCCCTAAACTTGATAATCAATACAGAAATCCCCATTTGAACCCTTTGCTGAGATGTTGTCCAGTTTCACTTACACAAACTTTTGAATTAAGTGTAATCTGAAAACCTCAATGCATTTTACAAATACTAATATGGTAAGCCTCACACCTACGCTTATAACACTAGGTAAATTTTATTCTCATTTTACAAGTGGGGAAACTGGGGCAGAGAAGTGACAGTTTGGTAATTTACCAAAGGTTCCCCTGGAAGTTAGTGTTGGGGCGGGGATTGGAACTTGGGTTCCTGACTCCCAGCCCTGTAATCATCTTTGTCACATAGAGGCAATATGAAACTTGGTGCAAAAGCTCAGTTCCCTTTTCCATCTATTCTCTTCCCATATAGGACTGGAGATGAATTCATTCTTTTTTGGCTGTGAGCGGGACTTTCTACATCATTGTTGACCCATAAATTGGGGGAGATACAAATATCTGACCTAAATTTGCAGTCTACATAATCTCAGTTATCAGTAGAAGTGAGAATCCTAGATAAAGCTCATGAAAATATTTTATATTTGTCTTGAGGACTGCTGGGATTCTTCTGAAATAGGGTCCTGATCTGTGTGGTCTGCAGGGATGTAAAATCCTGGTTTAAAAAGTTAACTGGTTAAATGTTAAGTTTAACTAGTTAACTGGGATCCCACAGGTGGAGGTCTACTCCAGCCTGGCAGGGTTCTGCTTCAGTGATGTGGGTAGGGGGGCTGCTCTTGCACAGCTGGGCTGGCCATGACGTATATAGAAATCTTTGGTCAATGTAAAGCGTTAACTGGCTAACCAGTAAGTCTCACCCTTAATGGATGAGGTTTATTAGTTCTGATTAATCAGTAGGGGCCAGAAGCAGCTCCCTGCCTGTCCTCCTATCCCCTTTTAAACTGCATTTTTACATCCTTAACCACTTACCCACTAAGCGTTAACTGGCACATCTGTCTGGGCTGGATCAGCTTCCCTGCCACAACCAGCTCGGCCAGGCTGTTGGTTAACTGCTTACTTACCAGGTAATCAGTTAACCCTTTGCATTCCTAATGGATTGACCAAGATTTCTATATATGGCTGTGAACAGCTTCCTTATGCACCCTTTTGGTCTCCTAGGGGAAAAGTCTTTGTGGGACTACAAAGCTGGACAGTGCCATCTTGGTGAATAGGACTTTGCAGGAACTCCTATAAATCTGAACATCTTGAAATTTGTGTTTGTAACTGTAGACCTCTGTCTCAGAATCCTATGTGGGATCAAAATACCATGAGATCTGGTCTGCTCACAATGCTTCTAGACTTCAAATGCTAAAATCCAGAGAAACTGGATCTTTTAGTGTTTTGATGCCCATAAGTGGCTTCTTGAGGCAGTCTGAGGGGATGTGAACCAAATTCTACTCCTTGCATGCATTGCGTTGCTTAATTGCTCTGTCAGTGGATAGCCAGCCTGAGCAACTGGTGCAACCTTCTTTCCCCCTGCAGTACAAAATTGTC